GTGGTAAATTTCTACATAACCAGCAACTTACATTCCACTTGAAGTTGATGAATTCCTTACTCTCCTGGTAACTTACTCCCTTAAAGAAGAGCTACGTTGGTAAGTCATTAGTTTCGCTTACTCCCTATTTTCACTAGTAAGATTTTACTTCGAATGAGAAATTTCTACCAAGATAGATAACTTATATTTTACTCAAAAGTTCACACATTCCTTACCCTGCTAATCACTTACTATTTAAAATAGTATATGGATTGGTAAGTTATTAATTTCACAGATATCTTACGATTTTCACTGCTAAGTTTATTGTTTTAAGTGGTAAAAATTCCAAAGCTTTTGATAACTTTATATTGCATTTGACATTCGCAAGTTGTTAACACTAGATATTTAAATCACTAAGTAATACTAGAATTGCTCAAAAGCTTTATAATTTCTCTAAGGTATTAGAATTACTATTGAAATCACCAGATATTAGAATTGCTCACTAACTCATCAAGCTTGAAAACTTACATTTATCTCCACACATATGGTTGCTTGTTCCGCTGTCCAAGTACCAAAAAATTTTCAAATCACTATCCCTTTGTAACTCGACAATAGGGTGAGTTGTTCATCTTGTTCATCATTTTCAATCAAAATTCTTCAAAATTATTAGTATTTCTTCCACATCTAAAACCATAATATCGAACTTATTACAGTTGAAGCATTTAACCAAAAGATTTTGGTATCTACCTTGAAAAATCTTGAAGTATTGCTTTTTTCGTGGCCTTCTGGGAAAGTTTCACTTTACCTCCCGAGCTCTCACTCTCGTTCAAGCATCGTAAACTTTAAACCCTTTTCATTTTGCTCTCCTGAACTCTCGCCCTCTTGCACGTTAACCCTCAAAGTTTAAGTCCTGACCTTTTTACTCCCGAACTCTCACCTTGTTACAAGTTTAATTTGAGACTTTAAAAGCTTACACTAGTATTCGCCTGAACTTACAAATTACGACTTAAAAGATTGCGGTCTAGGGTGTTTTCGTCTATAAAAGGGCACAATGCACATGATTAGCACTTCTCATTTAAGAATCACGTGCATTGTACATTTTAATGAAAAACAAAATTATTGGTGCTAACAACTGAAAATTTGTATGTTACGGATGGTGAAGTGTAAGGAGTTAAAAAGTTTAGATCAGAGTTTAGGAGGGTAGATGCAAAGGATTTGGGATTAAGAATTTAGGGGTGTAAAATGGACGACTTTAAAGTTTAGGGTTTAAGGTGTAAGAGAGTGGAAGTTGAGGGGGTTCAAGTGATATTTTCCAGATACTTTTAATGCTTTGTTGTTGGAAAAAGCACACAACCTCTTCCTCATTCATTCTATTCCACGACCGGTGCCACGACCACGACCACCTTCACCAGCTTTAGTTGAATTCCGATCTAATATGATGAGTCCAATTTTGAGCAACAGTTCCAAAAACTCTTCATTCTAATCTTTCCTCATGGGTTTGCAGCGATCTACTTAAGTGATCGATAGTGACGAGAGTCAAGGAGCTCGCAGAGAAGCCAAAGAAGGCAATGGAGGTGTCTAAACTTAGCTCGCTTCGTCCAGGAGATTTTGCAGTTGCAACAGCATGTGGTTGACGGTTCTAGTAATTTATTTGTAATGACGTATATGATCTGTGTTGCAACGTCTCCGAAATGCTCTTGGCTAAGGTGTTACGGCTAATGGATTGCTAAATCTAAACCTAGGACTTTACTCGGGCTCTTCTAAGCCCATACCAACTCGCAACTTAAAGCTCAAGTTCTTAACATACAAATCGATTTTATCTAGGAGTCTCTACTAATCAATTTATGGTGATTCGATTGGAAACCCAAGTAAAGCAACGGGAAAATCGCCTTACTCTTACGAACCAGAAATTCAATGAGTTCAGGGACTTGATTACATTAGTTATCTAGCTAGTATCCTTTCGGTATCCAACCTTGCTCAAACGCCCATTAAGATGTTCATGCAGTCTTCCTATCGATTGTGAATCATAATGTTCCAATCCCAATCAAGTTAAGGAAACAACAATCAATATATCGAAAGTGCGCAAGTAACGACCTAACATGCCTCTAATCATCAACATGCACGGTTTTATTAAACACACAATTTTAACATGCGAAGCAAATGTGTAATCAAGCATAGCATTAATCACACAAAAAGGCCAATTCCATAGCCTAATTTCCAATTTATAATTTTCAGAAAAAATAAAAATTTTCGGGTTTTTTAATTAAAAAATATTTTTTAAATATTAAAATAATAATAATATAGTTATTTTATAATAATATAAAAGGACCCGGGTCGGATCTCCACATCCGACTCGGGCTCCCCGGCCCGGGTCCACGACGCCCTAAAAACAAATAAAAAGAAAGGCCCGGCCTAAACCTATTTTCTATTTCTAGCCCAGCCCACAGGAAAGAAAGGAAAGAAAAGGGAACCAGGTCCGGCTCCTTGCCCGACCCGGCCCTTCCCCCTTACAGACCCGACTCGCCAGCCGCATCTCTGCACGACGCGGCGACGCCAGCCTCGGCTGAGAGCCCAACCTCGGCCGACTCCTCGTCCGGCTGTCGCCCGGCGCCACCTCAGCCAACCCAGAACGAGAACTCCCCCTCTGCCAGACCGCCTTTCCCTGGACCGACCAAGAAGCACCAGCAGCGGCCGGGCCTCCACGTTCGGCCACGACTGATGCTCGGCGAGTCACGGCCGTCAACCACGGCCACCGCCGATACCCTCTGCCCTTGCTGGTCCCCTCATGGCCGGAACAACCTTGGAAACAAACATTCTCAACACAAATTTTCAGATCTAGTTGAGGCATTTCGTCGAGCAGGTGGAGTGCACTCTCGAATCGAGGATTTCTCGGCTCCACGGAGGCTCGACTCGGGGCCGAGACTCTCGACATACAACCACATGGATGCCAGAACAGAACGTAAGGGCGACGTGGGCTGGAGCTTGCGCAAGCGGACGGCCGTGAGCTTCAGTCCGAGAAGCCCCAAACAGGGCAAAAACAGGGGCTGCCGCGATGGGGAAAGAACGGTGGATGGCCGTGATGTTCCCTACCCGGCTCAGTGACATCGGCTTGGAGGCGAGCCCAAGACGAGTCGGGCTATGGCCGGCCACCTTGGTGCCAAACCGGGATCCTTGGGAAATCGACCCCCAAACCAAACCAAACAAAACGAAAACACTCTCATAGGCGAGTGTCTTTCGAAAATCTCCTTTGTACTTCTCATCAAATTTGTGGATTGACATCTCTGATACTTTCAGTGAAATGGCGAGGACGCCTTGTGTATTTCAGTGAAATTTATGCAAAGAGTAGTGAATATACTTTGAATTTCATACAGGGAGTGCATTTGAGGTTTCAAAAGTCTCTGAGTGTCAACCTTCTAATTTACTGTCATGAAGGATTTACCTTTCGTTAATTGATTTCATCTCGATTTTTCCCATTGAACGAGCACCTTCTTCATAGTCTATTTGTGCTAGACTTATGACTACACCGAGCACTTTTGAGTTATGTGGTATAGTTCGCTTGATATGATCGTGAGACGATGTGTGTCAATATTTATGTCGGGTGACTTTTCCTAAAGACGAGATGAAATACGAGATGAGGTCAAGAGACTTGGTACACCTGTGACACGCTACACCATTGAATATATGAGTCAACGTTTGAATTTATTGCTGGTTCTACAATTCCATACCGTTGGTAATTTTATTTTGGGTTAATACCATGAAAATTCTTAAACTGATATATCTGTGACAAATTTATCTAAAACTAATTTTTTGACAATGAAAGACCCCAATATCTAAAACTAATTTTTTGACAATGAAAGACCCCAAACTGGTATACCTGTGATAAATTTACCAAAAACTAATTTTTTAACCACCAAAAACTCCAAACTAATACATTTGTAACAAATTTACCCTTTGTTAATTTCCGTTAAATTGGATTTATACCTCAAAAAATCAAAAACTGGTTCACCTGTGACAAACAGATGATAAAACCCAAAGCTGGTAAATCTATCCACTGCCGCGTATCATTTAACAAAGCAATTTAACAGTAAAATTTAACGAAAACTAACGGAGGGTAAACTTGTTACAAGTGTACTAGTTTGGGATTTTTTGTGGTCAAAAAATTAGTTTGGCATAAATTTGTCACAGTTGTACCAGTTTGGGGTTTTTCGTGGTATTAACCCTTTTATTTTAGCCTAAGACTTTGTTACTTTCGTAAAAAATAAATAATTTGAAAAATATTTTCTTAAAAATGACTCCTTCTATCACTTACAAAATTGAATAAACAAAATGATGGGTTTTTATAATTTTGGACCGCCCATGATGGGCTAACCTAGCCCGTTAGACATGAAAGAGCCCATGAGAGAATGATAACCGCCTAGGCAGTTATTTGTGAAAATTGTAACAAGAACAAAAGGTGAGGCAGAAGGAAAAAGTACGTTCTGCAAGTTTAACATTCATTCTCACAAAAGACAAAAAGAAAAAAACTTCTCTCAAGGGCTCTCACTCGACGATCGTAGAATTGTACTCTCTCGGCGTTGCAATCGGAATATTTAATCCGTGGAAAATAAGGCACGTCCTTCTTGGTGATGTATTTTAAACGATCGGTGATTCAAGTTTTATCTGGGTACGTTTCTGCATATGATTTTAGCGTTACTCGTTAGTTCGAGTTTTACGTTTTTTAGGAATTTGTTTCCGTTTTTCCGCATTATGTTTAGGAATCTGTTTCCAACACAAAAAATATTTTCGTCTTCCACAAAAATGTTGAGACATAAATTGTTGTCGATAATGAAAATATTTTTAATTGGCTAATTAATTTAAGGGATAAAAAAATCATTTTTAAGAAAATATCTTTCATATTATTTATTTTCTGCGAAATAAATGGAATGCAAAAAAAGCATTTGATGATCCACCAATGAAACTAATTCCAAGAGGCGGCTCATACGCACACCAAAAACTAATTCCACCTTTATGTATCTCGCGTATTAGGAATTACTTAGTTTCATTAAGAAAAGCAAGTGATAGAGTGTATTTTTCCCTTTTACAAGACCAATTGTTAACAAGAGAATCCCAAATGTCACGTTCAAGAACATACGATACATAAGTGAAGCACCCCGCTCTGCTCTCAGAGAGTTTACATGTGCTACACCATTGGATTTTATTACATCACCATTATTCAACTGGTTAACACCAGACATAAGCTTGTTAGCTGAAGACCGTTATCGAAAGGACGAGTTCAACTTGCAACAGCATTGATATGTAGAGGCGTCATCGATTCAATACTTCTCTCTCGATCTGGTTCGTAAAAAAACCGGATTTTTCGATCATTCAGTGGTTGAATAGGTCTGGCATTATACCTGGCACCCTGCAATAAGTAATTATCTTTTGAAAGTGAGAAAATTACGTGCACCATGTCGTAGCCGTAAACTTAAATGGGTATTTTAACCGCTAAGGTCCTGATGGAACAATGCGGCCGAGAAACTTAGGGCACTTACATCGCCGACGAGACGTCTCAGCAACCTGATTTGGTCCTCCGAAACACTGCTGATCTGGTGAACATTGACAAGTGATGGTTAGTCTACAAAACACTCCATAACATTAGAATTACACTCTTTAACATTGCTGATCTGGTGAACTTCGACGCCTTATAGGTTTACCTTTTGGTTGACGATCCATACGACACCTTCAGTGCAGGGAGGAGTGGTGAGGGAGCCCTTGTATCTGTAGTAACTCTGTCCATCCTTGATGATGTCCCTTGGGTCGATCCTCCCCACTTCTATCTCTTCCCCAAGTGTCATCATTTCGGGCCATATCCCCCCCAACACCTGCACATCGTCAAATCGTGCTCATCACCCGCATTCGATCAAATCTACACATGGATTGACATAAATCGGTCTAACAGCAACATATCTGACACCAGGAAGTGCTTTTCCTTTCTGTTCTGAGGATTAGAATTTGAAACTACAGTTTTTATGCTATGAATTCTACCTTTACACAGGTGACAAGAACGCTACCACCTGTGTTTAGTTCTGTCTTTTGAGGCCATTCCTCTTACATGTTTCGTTGTGATAAAAGCTAAATTTGATGTAATGGCTATTACTGACTGTAATGTAAATAGAATCGCAAAAGCGTCGTTATATATTACTTGCCATACTGTGAACTATACATAATTACGTACTGTGTAATAATGTTAATTTGTCACATTATTGTACGTAAAAATTGTCAAATGCACCATCTCAGAAATATAATTAGTAAGATCGTTACTATATTGCCAATACGATTATCTTTAAGTGGGGATTCCCAAAAGATTGAAGTAAGAATACATCACCCTTCCATTAGCTACGACCTTTTAAAGAAAATAACTCATTTTTGTCGTCCACTTTAGTTTATTCTTCTCACCGAAAAAACATTTTCAACGGCTCACACTGTAAATGCACAGAAAACATAAGAAAATACCCACTCCTTTTAAATTAAAAATCTACTCACCAACTAATATATAAATCCGTCCAAAAAAAAACAAAAACAAAAAATACTCAAATTTTAATACAAATCCCATGCGACGCGTGTAGCGCACATTGATTTTAGTTATTCTGTATAAGAAATTTTTGCATACCTGGTTAATAAAAGCATTTCGTTTGCCTATCTCGTACAGTAGTCCAACAACAACAATGTTGTGCGGAGCCTCTGCGGCCGAGTGAACCATGTGAAGCTCCAATGGATACCTATTTTCAACGTGTACAAAAACATATTCTTCATGTTCACCAGCATATTGAGCCACAAAATGGGATAACTACGCTAGGAATTCTAAAATTAATCACAAAAGTGAAATCAAGTTGTAAAACTTACAAATATTACAATCAAACTTTAAAACATATCAAATTTGTGCAATTAAATATATACTTCTATTAGCTCCATGAATATGAGCCGTTGAGAATACTGACATGACAATTTTTTAGCATTATCTTGAGGACACGTGGTGCTCATGAGGTGCCAAGTGTAGATGCCGGATGAGAATAAAAACCAAAAAAGAAAACATAATTTAAACAAAGACCAGCCAAATATAAAGAAAACTGGAACTTGGGGGGGGGGGGGGGGGGCGAGGGGAAAAGAGATTTGATTAAGTTTTTTTTAATGCAATCAAGTTCTCTAACTTTTTCAATTTGTGCAATCAAATCATTCGATCAATTATTCTAACTAAATCATCAAATTAATTAATGACATGGCATTGCTTATGCGACAGAAAATGACACATGATGCTAACTTGGCGTTAAATGGACAGAAAACAAACGGGCAGAACAAGGCAAAAGAATCCTAATTTGACATTATTTGTTACGATGGGTCAACAAAGCACTCAATTGTACACATCAAGAAGGTGAAATTATTTGATTGCGCAAATCCAGAAAATTAGAGAATTCGATTACACAAAATAAAAATTAGAGGACTAAATTGCATAAACCCAAAAAGTTAAAGAACTTAATTACATAGAACAAAAGTTAGAAAACCAAATTGCAAAAATACTAAAATTTAGAGGAATAATTTGTACTTAACCCCTTATTTTTTTTCTCCTAAGGTTATGCTTACGAGTGTAATTGTAATTTTTCCTCAACAATCAGCTTTTCTAAGATCTTGGATAAAATTTTCACATTTGCAGGACCCTCACAGCTGTAACAGCTTAAAGCAGCTTTTAGGAAATTACGTCACTTAGGTCTTAGGTGGGTAACCTTGTTGCATTGTTACTATGTCATGAAGTGATGTGACTTTTTAAATTAGTTTATACTTTTTGGAATTATAATGCCTCGAAGTTGGGTAAAACATTATTCTTAAAATCCCTATAGTTGTGAATGTGACGGAGCCGTGAAGAGTTTGCCAAACACTTCGTGAATGTTACAGCAGCACTTTTTGGCATATGCAACTCCTCGAGGAAAGTTGTGATTGGGTCTCAGTGTACGTAAAACACAATTCAAAGAAACCAATCAATCAGAGATTTGAAAGAGTAAAACTTTTCAGTCAGACGAGGAGGGAGGGAAGCATTAAAGGTAGCATGCTCGCGTTCATAAGAAACTGAGAAAGAGACCTTCTGCCATCAATGGCATGCTCAGAAGGGTGGTGCCAATGACATTGTTGCAAGAAGTAATCTCTACCATCTAACTTGATCGACCCTGCTCTTCTTTCGTCCCATCGAAGCTGCAATCGATATAAAGAAAGTTTTGCTCAATTATTTTTCTCTATTGGTATTTTCTGATCGAGGATAGACCATTCATCTTCACTAGTTTAACACTTATTACAGATTAAATGAAGTCAAAGGACGAATATGTACTAGCTTTTACAATAGTCATGTGGGTCTAGAATGAGATTTCATGAAAGCTTCTGATCATTCTGTATTATACATGTCGGAGAAGGTTTAGACAAAAAAGAAAAGAAACAAACCCAAATAACAAAGAAGTTGAAGTTGCTGCAAAATCCGTTTTCCTATTCAGTAGTCAGTTCGATTGGGAGCCACTCGTGCATTTTTGCATATATAGGACATAGAATACCTTGGCGCATGGCAAGGTTTAAACTCCACTTTAAAATCAGAAAATTAATCAATTCAAATCTTAAATATTCTGAAAACTGTTTAAGGTGACTTAAAAACGATGTTATTCATACTTTTGCAGAACGAAATATTAGAAGTTGAAAACGAAAATCGCATCGAATACCTATTCATTTGCTCTTGTTAGAATTGAGGATTTAACACTTTTTTAAGGAAACCAGGGCTGGGAATTGTCGTTCCTCGCATTTCTCATGTTAGCATGTTGTTCGAAGAAAACAAAAAAAAAAAAAGGGGATCTCCATAATTCTGGTCGGATTTTACCCGAATGTCATGGCCTCTATTCATGACGTATGCTTTGGTTGGATTGTAGTTCCTCCTTAGGTTCCCCGCGCCCCAAATCACGTCCACATCCTCTCTTGCCAAGTCAATTGGAGATTGCTCCTGTCCTTCACTGCATGCGCTCCATTCTTCCTTTAGATATCCCCAATTCTCTGGTCCCCTCTCGCTCCCGGGTATGTAGTTGAAGCCACTCTCATCCTCTAATGCACCAAAAAATCACACGCAACATCATCAAAAGCAAAAGCCAAAACCACCATAACATAGAGAGAGAGAGAGAGAGAGAGAGAGAGAGAGAGGAGTGTTTACCAGGTTCTACAGGTGCGGTCGATGCCACATGCAAGGCCGTGGCGAGAAGACTCAGGAGAAGAGCAGAGAAGACTCGAGTTCTGCTTTGGCTTGTCATTTTGTTTTTTTCCCTTACTCTCAAAAGGATTTCAGTGCGAGCGAATATAATCGCCCAACTCGAACGAGACGCGATGTACAAGGGCAATGCCTCAAATCAGTTTGTTTTGTTGAAGAAAAATTAAACCTCCCAACTCCCATTTATATATGCATTCCAACTTCGAGTGAATAGTGACATGCACGTGAACAAGGTGGTTCGGTAGGTAAGAAAGTGCGACTACGCCAAATAATTGAGACGTTAGGAATCTTTCCATCTGTCTTTCTTATCTATGGTTGATTATCTATAGTTTAAATAGTAGATAAATAATCCATAATCTATCGTGTACTATAAAAAGTAAAAGCAAGTTGTACAGAATTCATTACTAAAAGGACATTGAGCCTAATGATGAGTCCAAGAAGTAAAAAATGAAATCATTAAGAAGGTAGTTTCTTTTTATAACCTAAGGGCACGAGCAAATGTCATGACAACATGTGGGATGAAAAGTGGGCCTTCGAAGCAGTAGGGTGAAATGTGAGAAATGCAGAAGGGTCGATACAACATACAATTTGTCGTAGAAGTGGTGTCCAGGTTTTTATGCTAGATTCCGGAGATGTGTTCATTATCATTTTAAAGTATCTATGAAGGAGGTTAGCCTTTGGTGCACAAATTAGTGGTTAGGTGATGCTGCTCTCCTAATGATGGTTACGGCCAGCCTTTTATGTCTTACTCGAGGATTGAATGCCGAGCTAAATAGGGTAAAGTTCGGTTGATAATGATTATGCGATTTGTCATAATAATTATGGACATGTATGTCATATTATGTCTCAAATTTGAGCTATTTATGAAATTTGATCCAATTGAAGGATGTAAATCAATTTGCTAAATTATTCACGATGGCCACACTAAAGAAGGAAATAAAAAATGTAGGGCAAGTCTTTTGCCACTGCCAGACAAAGAAGTAGGGCCCTATATATATATAGGAAACGTGGGTTAGCTGGTGTTTTAAGAAGAAAGCAAGTGGGGCCAGGGATAATTAGAAATAAAAAAAAACAAAAGAGAAATATAGGGTTTTCTTTTTCTTAGCCCTAGGTTGTCCTTCTCTCTTTATAATGGTAGCCACACATAGGGACAAGTGAAAATCGTGGATTTTCTTCGGCTCTTGTCTCAAATGGTGGAGGCTGAATAGAGAATCTTTCTTGGACATACGGAGGAGCTCATTTTTCGGACATGCAGAGGGGTGGAACACGCCAAATGGATTTGTGCTGTGAGTTTTATTAGACATATTGAGTTATTTATTCGTAAACATTTTGGTTTGGATATAATTTAGGTGTGTAAAATACTTGAGTGTGTGAGTGAGCGATTGAAACTTGAATTCTCCGATTATAGTGGATTATTTGCTACTGGCTCTTTCTGTGAATGTAGGTACCAATACTCGGACCAAATCATGTAAATCTTTGGTGTTCTTTATTATTTCTTTGGTGATTTTTGCATCGACTTAAATTGCAAGATCCTGGTTAACTTCCGCATTTGTTAATGTTATCAGAGCTTAAGGATGGGTTATTATGGATTGTGGTTTGGAGCTTTTTCTTGTCTAATTATTATCTAGAAATTATGTTGTTAAAATTGAGACATTTAACGGGAGAAACTGTGAGATTTTGTGGAACCACTGCCAACTGTTCTAAAAGTTTAAGCTGTTAGATGAAGACGTGGTTAATATTTAATTACTCTAAAACTCCCCCCACGCTTAGTCTGGTCTTTTTGATTAGTACTAAGCGTGGACAATGGGGCTTGGAAAGATTTGAACTTAGGACCTTAAGCTCTGATACCATGTGAGACTTTGTGAGACCACCGCCAACTGTTCTAAAAGCTTAAACTATTAGATCAAAGCGTGGATTAATATTTATATTATAACACTCCCCCTCATACTTAGTATGTCTTTTTTTGCCTAGTACTAAGAGTGGACATATTTAATGGAAGAGGCAAATAAAGAAAATAAAGAATCGAGTTGATGAAGTGTTACTTTTCATTAATATGTTATACAGTATAAATAGAGATATCATCACTTATAATTATGGTAGAAGTTTAAGATAAAATATACAATTTGATTTACAAGGAAATTGAATAAAATACAAATTAGAAATGATCTCCAAATAATCAACTTGTAGATACTCTGCTTGATATGTTATCTTTATGCTGATTTGTAGAAGATTTTGTACTGTAGCCATTTTGATTTGTTGCTGCAATAAAAACAATTTTAGGTTATGAAGCGTCAAGTTAGAGGCGTTATTAACAACTCAAGATTTGGGTGAAGCATTAAAGTGCAAGGATAAGTTGCCTGAAACAATGAAAGATGTTGAAAAGGACGTGTTAATAAAGAAGGCAAGGAGTATAATCTTATTGAACTTACCATATATGGCGTTAATAGAGGTGGACGAGGAGAAGGATGTCGCGGTGTTATGGGCAAAACTTCAGGCACTCTATGTAATGAAGGGTTTGAACAATCACTTGTACATGTTGAAGAGGATGTTTCAGTTTAGATATATTGAAATTACGTGTATCAAATCCCACCTAGATGAGTTTAGTAAACTCATGATAGACTTAAAGAACGTCATTAAGATTCTAGATGATAAAGAGCAAGACATGATGTTGTTAACTTCTTTACCAGAGTCATGGGAGCACTTTATTGATTCACAACTAAAGGAGCGCACTATGATTAGCTCGGAAGCGATAATGTTCGCATTGTTCTTTAAAGACTAGTAGAGAAAGCTGCGAGCTAACAATCTAACGCAGGATGTAGTGTGGGGACTAGTGATTCGAGGAAGAGATCAACATCGGGGGTCCAGTATCAACAGAGGTAAAAGTAGGTCGAAATCACGCCATAGAAAGTCCAAGGGATGTCTGAAATTCTTTGAGTGTCACGAGGAGGGGTACATCAAGAGAGAATGTCCGAAGTAGAGAAACCGAGGTGACAGGTAGAATGCCACAAACAGTGTGGTGAACATCATAGAGGAGAGCACTAGTTATGCAGAGGCTGTCTTGTGTCTGAGTACTAGTTCGTTAGGAGAAGAATGACTGCTAGATTCAGGGTGTTCTTATCATATAACGCCTCATAAGTACTAGTTTACTACTTACCAAATTGTAGAAGGTGATAAAATTTTTGAAGGGGAATAATGTAGCCTGCAAGGTTGAAGGAATATGAACAGTTCGGATTCAGATGCATGATGTGGTGGTGTGTACACTGACAGACATGAGTTATGTACCGAAGCTTAAGAAAAACCTTATTTCTCTAGGGACACTTAACAATATTAGATGGAAGTACGCCGCTGAAGGTGGAGTATTAAAGATCTCTCGATGTACCATGACAATGATGAAAGGGATGAAAGTGAATACTCTCTATCAGCTACTATGAGAGACCGTGACAAGAGCTGTTGCAGTTTCATCAGGTGAATCAGACTCTAACTTGACTCATTTTTGACCTATGCGGTGAGTGTACATGAGTGAGACAGGTATGCCGATGTTGGGAGAGAGGGGGTTGCTGAATGGTTAGAAGACAGAGAAGCTAGACTTATGTGAGCACTGCATCTTTGGGAAGCAGCACCGAATTAAGTTTACTACAACTATTCATTCGACCAAGCAACCGATTGAATACATTCATTCAGACGTCTAGGGCACGTCTCCGGTTCCTTCTAAAGGAGGTGCCTGATATATGCCGACATGTACCGTCGACTATTCGAAAAAGATATGGGTATACTTTCTGAAGCACGAATCTGATGTGTTTGGTTGGTTCAAGAAATATAAGGCATTGATTGAGAAGCAATCAAATAAACAAATCAAATGCCTGACAATCAATAACGACATAGAGTTCTGTGGTAAATATTTCACTGGGTTATGCGAGAGAGAAGGGATTATGAAACACCGCACAGTATCCAGAAAAACACATCAGAATGGCATAGAAAAACGGAAGAACAGAACTTTACTCGAGCGAGCTCGGTGCACGCTTTCACATGCAAGACTAGGCAAGGAATTTTTGGTCGAAGTAGTGAACGTGGCATGTTACTTGGTTGATTGATCTCTATCATCTGCTATCGAGTGGAAGACTCTAGAGGAATTATGGTTGGGAAAACTTGTTGTTTAATATGGATTATGAGAATTCGGCTATCATACGTATGCTCATGCGAGTGATGGTATGCTTGAGCTAAGAGCGAAAAAGTGTATATATTTTTGTTATGCATGTGGGGTTAAGGGTTACTAGATGTGGTGCATTGATTTCGATTTACCCGATTTTCTAATTAGCAAAGATGTGATTTTCGACGAGACTATAATTCTTCAATAGAAGAGTTCCGAGACACTACTAGCAGAGCAGATAAATCATGGAGTCAGTAGTAAGGTAGAGCATCAGGTGGATAATCCAGAGTCTTCGGAGGTAACATAGGTTGATACTTAGATGAGGCCGTAGTTCCTAAAGTCGGTGATAGTAAACAACCAATACAGTTGCATCACACTATAGTCGCGGGCAGACAGAGAAGGCTAATTAAACTACTGGTACGCCATCATAGTTATATAGATATTGCTTATGCATTGACTGTAAATGACGAAGTGGCGACAAATGAGACTTGGTCTTACTCTGAGACGATGGACAATAGTGAGTCATCATAGTGGTTAGGGGCTATAAGCGAAGAGATGGAATCACTCTATCGAAAATTAGACATGGAAGCTGGTTAAAGTATTCAAGAGCCAGAAGATTATTTGAAGCAAATGGGTCTATAAATAGAAGGAAGGCATTCCCGGTGTCGAATTAGCGAGATATAAGGCGAGACTTGTGACAAAAGAGTATACACAACGGGAGGGCATTAACTACAACAAGGTGTTCTCTCTTATGGTAAGACATGCTTTTATTCGTGTATTACTTGCTTTAGTTGTCACACAGGATCTCGAGCATAAGCAATTAGATGTGAAAACGGCATTTCTTCATAGTGAATTAGACGAGCAAATTTACATAAGGTAGCTTGAATGATTTGCTATTCCAGGTAAGGAAGATTATGTTTTCTTGTTAAAGAAGTCTTTGTATGAGATGAAACAGTCGCTTAGGTAGTGGTATAAGTGTTTTGATGCTTTCATGGCTAGTTAGGACTATTCAAAAAGTCAGATGGATAGCTATGTTTACTTTAGGAGATTGGTGGATGGGTCTTTGATATATTTGTTATTATATATTGATAGAAATTAAGAATATGTCTGATATTGATGTGCTGAAAAGGCAATTGAATGCTAAGTTTGAGATGAAAGATTTAAGTGCTGCAAAAAAAATATTGGGTGTGGAGATTTTGCGTGATAGGGCTGCAGGAGTTTTATGTTGTTTCAAAAGAAATATATTAAGAAGATTGTTGCACGTTTTAATATGTAGTCACTGTAATATGTGAGTACACCATTAACGAAGCATTTTAAACTTTCTGATAAATTATCACTGTAGACTGAGGAGGGAGAGGAGCATATGTCCCGCGTTCCTTATTTAAGTGCAATGAACAATATTATGGCCTGACATTTCACAAGTTATGAGGATAGTTAGCTAGTATACGAAACAACTTGGTAAAACTCATTGGAAAACTGTGAAGTGGATCCTCATATATTCAAAAGGGACAACAAATATGGGTATAGTGTACAGATGGATAAAATGGAAGTGAGACCACAGAGTATGTGGATTCGGATCACGCTGGTGACTTGGATAGGTGCAGATCATTAGTAGGGTACATGTCACTAACCTTTATATCGAATGAGGCAATATGGCCGAGGGGTTTGCTCTTGGACTTTGGGTTAAATCAAAGAAGTGTTGATATACACTGTGATAATCAATGTACAATATATCTGGCATATAATCCGATTTATTACGAGTAAACAAAACATATCGACATCAGGTACCACTTTATTAGAGATGTCTTGGCAAAGGGTAAGATTGTTGTGTAGCAATAGCGGAGATCCCGACAGACATAATAACTAAGCCTATTCCTTAGCATGAGCTTAATTGGTGTTTGTAGAGAGTGAGCGCCTGTCGAGGCATTGAGAGAGCAGCATGGATAATGAGCACTATAACATTGTTTAAATGTCGAGCCAAAGTGGAAAATTGTTATATTATATCTCAAGTTCGAATCATTTACGTAGCACGACCTGATTGAAGGATGTAGATCGATTTGCTAAATTATTCACGATTGCAACACTTGGGAAAGAAATATAAAATAAATGGCAAGTCTTCTGCCACTACAACACAAAGAAGGGGGACCCACGTTTCTTATAATATATATATAGGAAACGTGGGTTAGCTAGTGTTTTATGAAGGAAGCAAGCCGGGCCAAGGTAACTAGAAAAAAAGAAAACAGAAGAGAAACATAGGCTTTTCTTTTTCTTAGCCCTAGGTTGTCCTTCTTCCTTTACAGTGTTAGCTGCACATGGGAACAAGTGAAAACCGTGAGTTTTCTTCAGCTCTTGTCTCAGCTGCATAGTGGAGGCCGAATAGAGACTTTTTCTTGGACGCTCGGAGGAGCTCGCTCTTCGGCCACGCACAGAAGCGGAACACCCAAAATTGATTTGTGCTGTGAGTTTTATTACATCCTATTAAGTTATTTATTTGTAAACACTTAGATTTGAATATAATCTAGGTGTGTGAAACACTTGAGCATGTAATAAGTAATTGTAACTTGGATTATCTAATTATAGTAGATTATTTGCTGCTGGCTCTCCCCGTAAATGTAGGTACCGATATTCGAACTGAATCACGAAAAACTTTGATATCCTTTATTGTTCCCCGTCTATTTCTTTGGTAAATTTTGCATTAACTTAAATTACAAAATCCCGATTAGCTTCCACGTTCTCTAATATTATACTAGAGATCAAGACTAGCCTAGAAGGCGAAAGAAAGTGCCATAGAGATGGCATAATTGACTCGGCCATTGGGGGTGCCACACTGCTCAAGGAGGGCACGAGTGACTCGAGATTGGCAAACAACTTTAATCGAGGGAAATAGCTGATGGAGTAGAGTGACCTATTCTACTAGGCTAGCGTTTGCCATTCATGTAAGTCCAAAGGGAGTGGCACTGACAATTGAAAAGCATTAAGAAGTAACATAATTGCTTGAAATGAGGGCTACGTGGAAATTGGTAAGGAAGATTATCACAGTTCCATTCCCCCCATACCTATGTCGATGAAAAGTGGGGTTTTGTGATATCGGGTGATGTGCATGAGATGCCAAAGAATTAAAACAACTCGGTAGTAAAAGTGGGATTAGGGTGTTATACTAGGAATCCGGGGATGGGATAACTATTATCTTAGAGGATCTCTAAAGGCGGAGTTTGCCTACAAATCAGTTGGGAGTTGATACTGCTTTTTTTATAATGACCATGACAAGCTGAAACTAGTTATTTGGCTTAAGTGGTTTATATGTCTCATTTAAAAGGCTAGATGCTTGACCTAAATTGGGGACGGGGCGATCAGTAATGATGATGTGATTTGTTATACTATCCTTGAGAATAATTGATTGAGAAAAGGTTGGCCTGGTGTTTCGACTCATCAAGTGCCACTTAGGCTTCCTTGCTGCAAAAGTCTCAAGAAATGACATGCATGCTCCATTATATAGGGGCTCATGAAACATTTTACATTTCCCATGAACCAGTTAAGTTTAGGTCTAAGGTTAGTCCAAGTGACAATGACCCAAAATAATTTACATGCAGTAGTGGGGTTTGATCATACACTACAAAAAAAGCCGGGTTTTGCCACGAATTTTGCCACGAAAAATTTCGACAAAATTCGTGGCAAAATGAATTTGTGACGAAATTAGCGACGGAAAAAAATTCGTCGCTAATAGGCCGTCGCAAAATTTTGCCACGGAAAATTCCAATTTTCGTGGCTAATTTGCGACGAATTTTTTTCGTCGCAAAATTCGTCGCTAATTATTCGTGGCAAAATTCGTGGCTAATTTTGCAACGAAAAATAATTCGTCGCAAAATTCGTCGCTAATTATTCGTGGCAAAATTTGTGGCTAATTTGCCACGAATATTATTCGTGGCCAATATCCGTGGCTAATTTGCCACGAATATTATTCGTGACAAGAATCCGTCGGTAATTTGCCACGAATATTTTTCGTGGCAAATATCCGTGGCTAATTTGCCACGAATATTATTCATGACAAGAATCCGTCGGTAATTTGCCACGAGATCTATTCGTGGCAAAAGTCGTCGCTATTATTTTGATTTATTTTTTGGTCGCGAAATTGCAACGAAATATTTTCATGGCAAAAAGTCGTTGCTAATTATCACGTGGCTAATAATTTTTTTTTTTCGACGAGTTTATTCGTGGCTAATTTGCCACTGGAATTATTCGTGGCAAAATTCGTGGCTAATTTGCCCGCAAATTTTTTTTTTATCAGTATTTTGCCACGAAAAATTTTGACAATTGCGGCCGACATTATTCGAAAACAAATTTGGCGACGAATTTTAATGAATACTTTAGCGACGAATGTTGTTTAGGAACGATTTCGATTTGAAATCTAATTAACATTGATAGAAAATCACGGTCAAGACAAGAACAAACCCCAAAAAGAAAGAAATGAAACAATGTTCTAAATTAGCGAGTTCGCAAACTGTTGTGGCAAACTATTGATCTTGCCAAGAAGTTCTTTCACGTTGTGGCAAACTGTTGCGGCAAACTATTGATTTCCAAGAATCGAAGTCCTGTCCATCTGCAGCGCAAACATCACAATATCAAACTCCTAACCCCTGTTAATTTTTTCACATCTATTCAACAGCAGAAGCACAAAGCAGAAGCACAAAGATATAAGTACCTCTTGAAAATTTAAACTAGCAAGGATCATCATCATCATCAGCATCATCATCATCATAAGGAATCTCATTATCATCATCATTGTGGCCATCACCTACTGGATTAGTAGGAGGTACAGGAGGACCGTCATCAGCTTCGAGGTTGAGGTGTTGCATGATCAATTGCAAACGTTGGTTCACTCCTTTCATTTCTTCGTCCTTCTGTACAAGTAATTGTTTCATTTCTTCGTCTTTCTGTACAAGTAACTGTTTCATTTCTTCGTCCTTCTGTACCAGTAATTGTTTCAAGCGGTTCAATTCTTGGTCCGTTCGCTCCTCGTGTTGTGCCCTTAAAAAAGCCGCACTGGAGGATGAAGTTGCAGCAGCCGGCGTTCTGTATATACTTGACAAGGATCCCATCCCAAATATATGACCTCTTCTCATTCCACCCGATGCCTCCATCCATAATGCCATACTGTCAACCGATGGCTCGGACGCAGCAGCACTATCACCATCACCATCACCATCACCATCACCACTAGCAGCAGCCGTGCTCATTACAAGTTCATCATATTTGTCCTACATTAACAATATTAATAAAAATAAAAAAAAACTTCATATATATAAATACAAAATATAACCTTACATACCTTAATAACTTTTGCTCGATTGCCGGTCCATGTCTTATCTTTTTTTCTGAAAGGTGCGTTCAAATGTAGCCATAAATGTTGGTTCCGTCCCCAATTCATCTGCCTACAAAATATAAACATAAATGAAATGAGTAATTATTGATTTAACTTTACAACATGTTTAAAAGACTTACCATTCTTTTTCTATGCTCCCCGATATTAATAGAGTCCCCAGCATATGTGGCAGACCCTTCACTAGAACTAGAAGCTCGATTCTTCTTATTAATTTCACTGATTTGCTTATGCTTTTCGGTGTCCCAAATTCTTTTGATTTCCGCCCAATTGTCAGCTGTAATAAAATCCGGCTTTTCTTGTCTTCTCTTTGCTCTATTCATCACATTTCGCATGTGATCACCGGCTTTCTTCTTAAAAATTCTTTTAACTTCTTTCTCTTCCGCTTCATCCCACCTGAACTTCCGCTGCAAGCAATCAATAGAAAAATAATTGTACGCTCAGTATGCTAAATTGAACTTAGTTTGTGAGGAAATAAAAGGACAAAACTTACCTTGAACTCATTCCACCACAATTCCTTTACTTCTTTTGGAGCAGTGGTCCAACTACTAAACTGCCCCATCCAATAGTTATCGATTATTTTATTAAGTCTCCTCACAACATGCATAGAATCCGTGAATCTGCAAACGGGTTATAACTTATTTCACCATACGTAGCATCCGTAAAGCATACAGACAATTCAGTTGACATCCATAATAATTCACATATATTTAAAAAAATGAAATACTTACGAATCTCCAAATGGGGCTATCATGAATCGGGTATCTTCTTCATAATTCGAGTGTTGCGTTGAAGAAGAAGGTGGAACCGAAGGCGATGAAACTGAAGTAAATTCAGTTCGCATTTGAGGGTCGGAGGAAGGGCCAATGTGTCCATGTACTAGTTGAGGGTTAGATAAAAGGGCAGGGGCAGGGGAAGCGGAAAGGGATGGGGATGAGGACGAGGAAGAGGAAAGGCCTGATCTTCTTTGTGAAGCATCATCACGACGCATGTGACCTCCACGTTTATACTAAAAGGTGCAAGGTTAGACAAAAATAAAGAAAATTATGAACATATATTAAGGACACATAATGACGTACGTCGTGAAGCTTACCATTTTGTTATTGAGAGCAAGAGAGATGGCCTCTGAAAAAAAGGAAGCTGTCCGGAAATGTCTACGAGCTAAATTTCTGGTCCTACAACAGTAAAAAAGGAAGAACTCATCTAGTGGTCGTGGTCATCAAATTTTCAGTTAATTTCGTAATTCGACTTGTTTTAAAATTTAATTGCATGTTTTGAAAGCCTTAGAACTTAATAAGTTACACTTTCACAACAAATTTTATGATGCAAGTAAATCACTAAGTTCTGTTCAAAATGAATATATCAACTTCAACAAGAAAATCAATAAATTTTTACCTCGAAGGGAGCCACTCCAGAAAACGCAAATGTCACGGAAATAGTTTTACCCCGATGGCCAAAGCTTCAACCTAGGCCAAAAAAGTTTGCAAATAGTTTTCAAACCTAGATAATGATAAAATGACTCCGAAACGAAAAAAAAAAGTGGAAATGTCACGGAAAACACTATTCACCAGAATCATTTTTTGCCAAAAAACCCATCTAAACGACTCCAAAAAGCCAAAAAATGGCTTGCGTCACGGCCATAGGCGGTGAATTTCGATCAGCGGGCCGTTTCCACTTGACCGACCAAATTTCAGCTCATTCCGACAACATTTCACCTTATTTCGACCAAATTTCAAACGAATTTCAACTAAATTTCAACCTAAATCCGACCAAATTTCAACCTAAATATGAGAAATTGATTATGTTTCGTTCTGTTTCGTGGGCGAACGAAACAGATTAGGTCTGTTTGTTTCGCCCACGAACGTAATCAAATTCGTGGGCGAAACAGAAGCAACCATTCCTGTTTCGCCCACGAACGTAATCAAATTCGTGGGCGAAATGTAATGGTTCTCTTTCTTTTCGCCCACGAATTTGATTCTATTCGTGGGCGAAACAGACCCAATCTGTTTCGCACAGAAGGCAACACCCAACACAGAAGCGCCCACGAAAGCCAACACAGAAGCGCCCACGAAAGCCAACACAGAAGCCAACACAGAAGCAGAAGCCGAAGCATAGAAGCGCCCACGAAACTGGTTTGTTTCGCACACGAATAGAACCAAATTCGTGGGCGAAACAGACTAACTGCTTCGTCCCACGAACGTAACGAAGCGCACCCAACACGTAAGGCAGCGTGAAGCGCAGGCGTAATGCGTAACTGTACGTATGGCGCACTCAACACGTACGGCCACCCAACACGTAAGTTGCAGCACGTGCTTAGCGTAGCGTGCTTGTAGGCGTGGCTACGTGGCGAAGCATAGAAGAAGAAGCACAGAGCAGAAGCAGACCCAAACGTAGACCCAACACATACATTGAAAAAAATCCGTGGCAAATTTGCCACGGATTTTTGCCACGAATTTCCTAAAAAAGAATACAATAGATTTCGTGGCTAAAATCCGTGGCAAATTTGCCACGGATTTTAGCCACGAATTTCCTGAAAATGCCTTCACAAGTTTTTTTTTTAAAAAATCCGTGGCTAAAATCCGTGGCAAATTTGCCACGGATTTTTGCCACGAATTTCCTAAAAAAGAATACAATAGAATTTTTTTTAAAAAAAAAATCCGGGGCTAAAATCCGTGGCAAATTTGCCATGGATTTTAGCCACGAATTTCCTGAAAAAGCCTTCAGAAGTTTTTTTTTAAAGAATCCGTGGCTAAAATCCGTGGCAAATTTGCTACGGATTTTTGTCACGAATTTCCTAAAAAAAGAATACAATAGATTTTTTGTTTAATAAAAAAATCCGTGGCAAATTTGCCACGGATTTTTGCCACGAATTTCCTCAAAAAGCCTGCACACGATTTTTTTTTTAAAAAAATCCGTGGCTAAAATCCGTGGCAAATTTGCCACGGATTTTTGCCACGAATTTCCTAAAAAAAGCCTAAATCATGCATACGGCCTTTGTTTACGAAATCCGTGGTAAATTGCCACGGATTTTTGCCACGAATTTCGTAAAATTAATTTTTGGCTTTTCATGAAAAATTACTTAGCCTTGTGAGTGGGATTTTTTCATGAAATTCGTGGCTAAATTTCGTGGCAAATTTTCCACAGATTTTAGCCACGAATTTCATTTCTACTATCCCACACTCGCGTAATTCATTTTTTTTTTCCGGACAATAATGTTTCATTAACAATAATAGCAATAATAATATTCAACAACAATTACAATAATAATAATAATAATAACTACCACAACAACAACAACAACAACAACAATACTAATAATTACGGCAACAACAACAATAATAAATATGACAACAACAATAAACTTTGTCATAATAATAATAATAATAATAATAATAATAATAATAATAATTACGACATAATTAGTAAAAAGTCTCAAAAATCTAAATCTTCATCTTCACCTTCGTCTTCATCTTGATCTTAATCTTCTTGTTCAGCATCATCGTCATCATTGTCATCATCATCGTCGTCATCATCGTGATCATCATCGTCATCGTCGTCGTCGTCATCATCATCATCATCATCATCATCATCATCCTCTGTCTGAAAATCAGCTTCTGCAACACCTTCTAAATTTGATTCGCGAATTTCAGTTAGATCTACATCTATCATTGCTCCACATGGATCTCGTAGAGTAGGAATGTTATATTCCTCAGTTTGAACTGCATTATAAACTTCCTCTTGTTGATATGCTGTATCCTTCCAGTGTTCCTCGATTTTTCTTCGTGCTTTGATTTTACATACAGCCCACCAATCAGTTTTGTCACGTTTCAAACTAGGATATGATGCATAATATACTTGAATTGCTTGTTGTGCCAACACAAATGGTTCATATTTCTTATACCTTTTCTTGTGATTTATTTCAACCAAATTAAACTTCGTATGTACTTTCGTTCCTTTGACGGGGTCGAACCACATGCACTTAAATAACACAACCCGCATTAATGATCCGGGGTACTCTATCTCGATGATTTCATCCAACAAGCCATAAAAATCATCTTTTGAACTACCACAATTGGATGACCGAACACACACACCACTATTCATTGTGGCTTTTTCCATTCCATATTCTCGAGTGTGAAAATTGTACCCGTTTATGAAATATGCTGGCCAACTTCGTATGCTTGACTGTGGACCCCATGACAGATAATATAGTAATCCTTGCTCTTCAACTTGATCATGATTACTGTGAACCTAAGATTACACACGCAAAGTCAATAATATATATTTAAATGATGTATAAAATATTAATAACTTGGTTTTGGTCTATAGGCAACTTACATATGTTTTGAACCATGCTGCAAATTGTTCATTGCACAAACGGTCGAACTCATTTGGTGGTAGTCCATACATTGAATTTTGAAAAATCCTATTAACAATTTACATTTAAATATTAGTAAATATTTGACACGCAATACATATATTTGCAAAAATATACACTTACTGGAAGTATGGCTTCACTTCTGGACAGTTCAGTAAAATATAGGTATGGGCTGCTTGCCGTTCTTCGCCTGTTAAGCAACGAAACTGACATGCGCCGCTTGGTCGACCGAGATAATTGAAAATAGAGAATGATTTGCAATTGGGATCGATGGGACCCTCATCATTTCTTCCTGCTCTCCGCCTCTTGCACTGCACGTGCGGCTCAAAATAGTATGATGCAAATGTTGTCACTTCTTCCACAATAGATGCATTACAAATTGAAGCTTCAACACATGCCTTATTCTTCACTTTTTTCTTCAAATGATATAAGAACCTTGTTGCAATAGAAAGAAGTTTATCAGAACATAATATATAATAAAGTATTTTGAATTTTATTTTGAAAATTTTTTTACCTCTCAAATGGATACATCCATCGAAATTGGACGGGACCTGCAACTTTAGCCTCATAAGGCAAGTGAACTAGGAGATGCTCCATTGAATCAAAAAACGCTGGAGGAAATATCCTTTCTAAATTGCAAAGAATAATTGGAATGTCTCTCTCCAGTTTCTCCATGTGTGATACTTTTAACACTGTTGAGCAAATATCATGGAGGAAATTACTTAACTCTGTAATGGCGCCCCATACAAAGTTTGGTAGAAGTTCCTTCAAAGCTATTGGAATTAGTCTTTCCATAAATATGTGACAATCATGACTCTTTAATCCTGTCAACTTGCATTCGTTCAAATCAACACATCTCCCGATGTTTGAAGCATATCCATCAGGAAACCGCACAGATTTCAACCATTGACAAACGACTCGTCTCTGCTCCTTATCCAATGTATAAACCGCTTTTGGTTTTGGTCCCCCTGCTTGCATCCACATCTAATGTTGGCCGATCACAAATATCTCTCATATCTTTTCTTGCATTCAAGTTGTCTTTTGTTTTTCCCGTGACATCCATCACAGTATTTATGACATTATCGAAAACATTCTTTTCAATGTGCATAACGTCAAAATTATGATGAATAAGATGAGCTTTCCAATATGGTAGATCCCAAAATATACTGCGTTTAGTCCACTTATGTGCACTTCCGTACGCAATAGTTGTGCCATGAGGGTTTT